TTTTGTCAGAAGCAATATTGGGAAAATAGCTCCTATTCTGTTAGTACCAAAGTTAGTTGTTGTAGTAAGCATAGGAATAAAACACAAAATGTGGGTGTTAGCATGGTGAGAATGAGGATTCATGCAGTAGGGAAAGGAGGAGGCACGTTAGGGAGCCAGAGATTTGAGTCATTGATGGTTGCCCCTCCAGGGCAGGAGTTAAGACAGTGCCTTAGCCCTGCACCAGGACAGCTGCACCCACACCTACATGAGTATCCTGCATGTTGGTGGGGACTCTGTGGTAGAGGTGGCTCCATGCTGTGCCTGGCATGTGGGGCCTACATCACGAGCCAAGGCCTTACTCAATTCTGTTGATTTCTGGCTGGAATTAAGCAGCCCCTTTTTGGGAATAGGAAGCCCTTATCTCATGTGCCTGACACAGAACTGTTGTTTGAACAATGTCAAGACCTGTAACTTTCAGTATACACTTGTTTGCCACCTGCAAGATACCATGAGGAAGACCAACCATCAGTAGAAATGGGGTCACAGCCTCAATAACTCGATGGATGCTGGAAAGTTCTCCCAGGAGGCATGCCCAGTTCAAATGCACTGAGTGAGGTTCTGTGTTCAAGCATAATGCTTTATGCTGGGACTTTGGTGTGTCTGTGGAATCTAGAGAAGAAAGTACTTATTAGGACATGGGCTGTGTCTGTGTGTGTTCATCAGACAGCCAGTCCCTCCCATTCACCCTGCCCAAATGTCCAAATCTGGCAGCTCGCTCTGCGGTCTTCTGGTGACACCTCCTATTGTTCTGGCTGTCCCAGTGCCTCTCTGGTCTTCCTTGGCCCAGTTCTGTTCTTGCTCTTGTTCTGCTGCTGACCACCTGTCAGGGTGATTGTCTATCCATGAGAGAATCACTGTTTCCAAATGAGTCTCCACTGACGTCTCTGAGCTTCCAGTGTCTGCTGTCACTTGCCTTCATTGAGGCCTGTCCACTGTGCACCAGGGTGTTGGACCTGAGGCCAGACTTTATTTATTATGTCATGATAAAGAGACTTTCCTGGGCTTGCAGTCCACAGCTTCTGTCCCTTGCTGACTAATATGAGCCTAGCGTCATGCCAGAGTAGAAGTTGCCAGAGTTTTCGGAAAGTATCTGGAGTAAGTTCACTGCTGCTGAAGGGTATGTCCATATAGAGATAATGTTGATCCAGAGTCTGTGGGCCTGGTATAGGGCTGGATCCAGTAGCAGGGACTGGATGCTAGATGGTGGACTAGGAGGACCCTCTCCCCCAGACTCTGGGCACCCATCACAGCCAGGGCCAGGCTGCCCATGTTTGTGTGAAGGTCCACAAGTCTTTTGCCTTCTGTAATAGGCCCCTAAAAGAGCACTGTTGGCCCTGTAAACAAGCTTGTAGATGGCCATGTGTTTTTAAAAGTAGTATTTGGGAGTTGGTAGAGTGCCTGTCTACAGTGCACGAGGCCCTGGGTCGATCCCCAGCACCACGTGAAACTGGGTGTGGTGGTGGAAATGGAGGCAGGAAGATCAGGAGTCCAGGATTACTGTTGATGACATGGTGAATTCAGTGCCAGCCTTGGCATGCGAACCTGTCCCCCCAAAAAGTGGTATTTGAAGGGTCCCTCATTCTAGGTGACTTCCTGGGAAGCTCCAAGATGTAAACTTGCCCCTCTTCCCTAAAGCACAAATTCACTACGGAAGGGCCAGTTACCTTTCTACTTTCTCAGTCACAGGCTTCTGCTGATGAATGATACTTTGTCGTTTTGTTCTAGTAAATACTCTTGAATGTATTAAATTGTCGTGCTTTGATTTCCTAGTTTGTTCTCTTTCTCTGCTACCCCTCTGGTCTTACACAAGCCAGAACTCTCAGCTCTGCTGTGGAATTGGAGTAGAAGGCATGGGTGCACCTGCCATCGCACCCTGCCACGTGGGCTCAGGCAGCTCTGGACAGAGGGTGGAGGAAATGGATGAGCCCAGAGGTTCTGGCCTGCCCAGAAGCTACATGGTATCCGTGGCCAGTCTCAGATCCCATCTTACGGCTAACGCGCCCCACGGTGGGGTCCCTGCATGATTGAAGCCTCCAACATAGCCCACACATTGGAACAGGATGTCCCAAATGTTTTTGTTTGCTTTTCTTTTCTTTTTATAAATGTTAACTTCTTAGAGATGGATTTTAGGATATATAAAACTATGGGGTTAGGGTAGTCTATCTAGAAGCAGCTAGTTAGGCAATTTTTTTTCCTGTGCATCTTTTTTTAGTGCTGGGATTCAAATTCTGCAGGACCTCGCATGTGCTATAACAATTTCTATACCTCAAACAAACAAAATTCTATACATCTGAGCTGTACTCCAGCTCTGAGTATGGATCTTGTGTGCAGTGTTTTCGAATCGGGCGTGATGAGGTTGGACGCTTTCTTTCCTCTTTGCACATGTCACATGCAGGAGAGATCTATGGACTCAACATCTATACACAGGGCACCTATGTTGAGCATCCTGCCTGGGCATGATACTCTCCAGGATTTGGGGTCCCAGGACGGCCATGACTCAGCTGGCCTGAATTTGGAGATGTCCTTAGAGGGCCCACAAGCCACGACCTCCAACACTTCAGGTGCCCAGGACAACCCACATGACCCTAACTCAAGCCTGGAACAAAAGGCTCTGCTGAATTTTTGGAGCTGTCATGGCAGGGACTGGATTAGGACTATTCCAGCTCTTCCTCACACTCTGAACACTGGATGTGTGTCCTCAGGAGGACAGCAGGAACCTGTAGCATGGCAAGAGGAGTGCTGACCTGCCTGTGGCGCTTTGATCTGCCCCTGAGACAGCACTGGCCCCTGCAAAGAGGGGTCTCCTCAGCCCTGCCCACTGCATGTTGTATGCTCCTACGTAACCTAGTTTATCTGCCAAGAGTTCTCGTGATAATATCTTTCTTTATCATAGATAAGGGATTGCCCATCCCAGCCAGTACCTTGATAAAGGAGGTTCCGAGCCGGGAGAGGCAGCTCTATTGGAAAAGGAAAATAGGTTCCTGGGAAGAAAATAGTCCTGGGAAGACTAACTAGAAAGTTTCCCAGACACCTGTACCTACAGCCTCTGGGAGCCAGGGCACCCAGTGGCCACCTCTTAACCCATTCTGACAGAGTTGGCACTTCCCCAAAGTCTCAGAGGGGCTGCATGGTTTGAGGTGGTTCCTTCAGTGGGAAGTGGTCAGATGTGAATGGTCTCAGTGTGTGGGCAGTATGCTCTGTGTTGAGTGGTGAGGGTGGAGTCCCAGTCTGCTGTGACTCTGTTCTGGTGGAACTCTGACAGCAGGAGGCCCGGCAGGGTAGGAGAAGAAGCCACACTTCTTGGGAGTGGATTTAGCATGTGGTTTACCAATGACTACCACCAGGCCCAAAGCCTGGGAGGACTGATCCTTGTCACCAAAAGTGTCTAGAGGATCTCTGCATTGCCCTGAGAGTGAAAAGGGACCATCAGGGTTTCTGAAGTTTGGGAGCTGAGTCCTGGGAAGAGAGAGAACGAGATCTTGGAAAGACTACAAGTGGGCATGCTGTGCGTGAAGTTTTTATGTGGGCTGGACTCTAGGGTCTTCCCAAGTATGGGCTGGACCCTAGGGTCTTCCCAAGGTGGACACCAACTTTTCGAATATGCTGGAGCTGTTCCGACCTCTGTGGGCTCCTACTGTCAAGCATCCTTTAATGTGAGAGAGGCCTGGTGCATCCCCAGGACTGAGGACACAGCACAAGGAGGTGACTTAGGGCCATCTTTGGGGGTGAGAAGAGGCAAACCCTGGCATAAGGAATTGCAGAGCACAGTTGCCTCCCACCGTGGGGCCAGGACAAAGTTGTGGACCCCTCTGCCTTTGGCCTGTCTACAGTACTGCACCAGATGAGCTCCAGCGTGGCACTCCAGGGTCAGCTTCTCGCTGTCCCAATGGTAAGAAATGGATGGTGCGTTTTCTTGTAAAGCTATAGGTCGGGAGGGAATCACCCTCCTGTCTGCCCTGCTTTGGACAATTTGGGCCGCTTCCTCTCACAGTCTTTTTGCCTTTTCAGGGTGTCCCTCTAAGGATGAGTTTAGCCTCTGGCTCACAGGAAGAAAATTGAGCACTTGGGGTGGCTTGGGGTTCTCAAGGGACTTGGCCCAGAGCCCACTAGGTCCATAGTCCCCAGTCTTGGCGTGTCTTGTTCCCTGATGTGGCCCAGCTGGCCCTAGAGCAAACAATGAGGGCCAGAGGCCACACAGGTGCATCCTGGGCAGGAACAAAGGGCTGGGGGTAGGGTGGAGGAGTAGTCTGAGAGTGGAATTCTGGGAAACGACAGAACCCAGCTGGCCCCACACTTCGGTCTGAGGAGCTGGGACCTGGACGTAAGGAAGGGTGGGCAGCTATGACCTTCAAAGACTACCTGAGGTTATGCAGGGAAACCAAAGCCCAGAGCTAGAAACCAGGCAACCGGGGACCAAGCGCGCTGTCAGACAGGATCTGCTAGGAACAGGCTTATACCCTCTGCCTTTGAACCCTTTTCAGGAAGGCCCAGGCTCCTGATTGATCTCCGCACCCGCGAAAAGCCCACATAACTAGAAAGGGAGTCAGACCAAGACCAAAGTGAACCTTTATGGCCTAGGAAGGCCTGAGTCAGCCTCTCATGGCTCAGCACAGCTCTTCCTGGCCATGTGGGCCTATGAAGTTGAAGCCAAGCCAGGCTCTGCCTTACTGTGGTGACCTTAGGGCACAGTTTTTGTGGTGGGTTACTACCCATCAGAACTTAAGGGTGAACTCTAAGGGCGACCGGCTTTACTTTTCTTCAGGCAGGTATTGGAAGGAGGCCTTACTCCTTGGGTAAGACATTGCTGCAGTACACCAGGCAAGACCCTCTAGGGCAGCGTTCCCAACCTTCTTAAAGCTGTGACCCTTTAGTACAGAGTTCTTCATGTTGTAGTGGCCCCCAGCCATAAACTTATTTTTGTTACTACTTAGTAACTGTAATTCTGCTACTGTTAAGAATCAGTGCAAATATCTGCTATGTCCAATGGTTTTAGGTGACCCTTGTGAAAGGATCATTGGGCCCATGAAGGGTCATAACCAACAGGTTGAAAACCACTTCTCTAGAGGACTCCCGGAGTGTAGAGCAACCTCTGCTCTCCACACTATGAGCTACACTACCTGCTACGGTACTGTCCTGTAGCGCCTGCAGTACCAGATGGTACGCGAGCCGGGAACATACACACAGAGACAGAGATACAGGGACACGGGTCCTCCTTGATACAGGAATGCCCACTTTATTGTGTTCGGGGGCAGCTTATACAGTGCTCTGCCCACACCCCCGCTCTCGGGATCTTTCAGCTGCAGCCTCCAGCAGTCACTCCCCTGTCTTGTGCTCAGAGCAGCTGCAAACAGAAAAACAAGTCGTTTTGCTCAGGGCAGCTACAAGCAAGTTGTTCACGGGAAATTCAGGGTCTGGGGGTCCACAGCCCCCAACATCTCCCCTTTTTCTATATAATTAGAACTAATGTTCTTAACTAGCCCGAGTGTGGCACAGATATGATGGAAAAGAGGAGAGCAACTAACTAACCACATGCAAATCCCACAAGAAATCCAACTGCTCTTAAAAGCTGGAAAATGCCCTAGTGAACATGCTCATTCTACGTTCAACATGAGTGATATTAAATGCTGGTGCTGGCTACAAGAGAGTTACAGCAGCCGTCCGGCTGATGGCCATTCCAACTATCGCGAGGAGGGCACAATAGCAGCCGCTCGTGGTGATCCCGAAGTCTTGGCCAGGATGGCTCGGCAGTCATCCTCAAACGCCAGATCCTCCTGCCTCTGCCTCCTTCAGCAAACCCTACTGGCGTGCGCTACCACAACCGACCAGGGCTGCAGGCAGACTCGGGGACCTTTGTGTCTACTGCGCGGGTTCCTCAGGTCCTGTGGGAAAGCCTGCTGCTCGCGCTACAGACTCTTGGGTGTGCAGAGCCGGGAACCACCACCGCCTTCTCGCCGAGCTGCCATCTTCTCCATTCAGGCAGCCCAGCGGGGGCTGAGCAGCTCTGGCTAGCCTTGGCTCCAGCACTTGTTGCCACGCCGATGCTCCTGGCACCACTGCTGTGTCCCCCTTGGCCCCATAACCTCTAGTAAACAATTTGGGGAATTTGGGCATCATTCTCTATACTACTTCCTGCTGTCTATTGGATGAAGTTTCTTTGAGGGTATTCACAGTGACATTTCATGGGGTCTTGGTGCATCAAACGACATTAGCCTGGAATGAATCCACAGGTTCTCATCTTTTGTGAAAACAAAAGCAGAACCTCTTTTCTAAAGCAACAAATCCCTAGACCCATATTTTAAAGTCAAGATACCTTCCTTAGCAGTTCCCAGAATCAAATGTCTCTCTCCAGTCAAAAAAACCAAAAGAAAAGACATAATACACATCCGTGCACATTCCATCTTTTCGAGGCTTGTTATTTCTTTACTCCTTTTAATCTGACTGTCTATACTCTATCTTTAAAGACTTACTCTTTATCTTCCATATGCATATACACATACCCATCTTCAATCCACTCTCACCATTCCCGAGGGTGGTCTCTCAGAATCTCCCTAGTTCCCGTTGTCCCCGAGGGCCTTGTACTGTCTGCCTATACTATGGGAGAATTCAAGTTTGCGAGTCTCGAGCAAGGACCTGGAGATTTAAACACAGAAAGACACACAGATACAGAGAGAGACGGGGACACGGGTCCTCCTTGAGACAAGAATGCCCACTTTATTGTGTTCAGGGGCAGCTTATACAGTGCTTTGCCCATGCCCCAGCTCCCGGGATATTTCAGCTGCAGTCGCCAGAAATCACTCCCGTCTCGTGCTCAGAGCAGCTGCAAACACAGGAAAACAAGTTTTGCTCGGAGCAGCCGCAAGCAAGTTGTTTACAGGAAATTAAGGGTCTGGGGGTCCATAGCCCCCAACACTGGAGGAAGGTGCTGGGCCTTGGAATTGTAAGGGCTGGGAAGAGAAGCAAAAGGAGGAACCCTCCGACCTGGGCAGTAGTTGACTTCTACTTCATGAGTCCCCATAACGCCTTCAGGGCGATTTTCAGGATAGTGTTCCCAGGACATAAGTCCTGGGGGATGGTACTGCTCAGGCATGAGGAGGACCAAAGCAAGGGTGCAGGGTCACAGCTTGAGAACAGGCCTCAGCTTGGTTGTGTCCCCATCCTTAACCCCATGGTACTAGCTGTTGGCAAGTCCCGGGAGGTGGCGAAACCACACGCCTGGAAGGCATATGGCAATGCATGCCGGTGCCAGGGCAGCCCCAGCAACTGGTCCTGCCTGATGATGCCTATGGATTTCTTCACCTGCGATGACAGTACCTCCGTCGCATGTGCTTCTCCAGGGGGTCTCGGGTTTAATTCAGATTGCATGCAGGTCCCTACTCTAACCAGATCTACACATGTGCACACATACACACGCATGCCCACTCTCCACCCTATAGTTGCTGTAACACAAATAGGGCCTGGACTCATCCAATGGAAACAGGAGGCCAGGCTTTGGAGGGATGAGCCCCAGAAAGCGACAATCACCACTATACAGGCAGGCATTTGGCTTCTCCCTGGGCACCTGCACACTCGCTGCCCACCTGTTTCCGTGATGGAGCTGCTTCTGAAGAATTGCGCCTTCCCATCCAGACCTTAGCCCTGGGGTCTAGCCTGGTTCTCAGCAAGCCTCTCCACACTTGCCTCTAGACGACAGTCTGTAGGTTCCAGGAGGTTTCCAGAAAGGCCTTGGCCCTCAATGCCTGGGTGTATGAAGGACTTCTGCTGGGAACAGATGGAGATTCGCAAATCCATCCAGAGACATGCGTCCAAGGCAGACTTCGTCGTCCAGCCACCTCCAGTAAGAGGAGGGGATTCCCAGCCCAGACTTCTGAAAGTCCTACTTAGTCTGTGGTGCAGACGCAACTCCCTTCTTGCTCTGTAGTGAGGATTGTGGGGAGGAGTCACGGTCCCGTAGGCGGCAGGGGTGAAAGAACAGAAAGGGACCCCGGTCTAAAGTCGGGTGTGGAGCGGTAGCGGGAGTAACATAGCACCAGGGCAGCCTAGCTCCGATAGAAGGCAAAACCGGGAGCCCCAGAGTGGCACAGGCAGCCAGCCTGATGTCTTGTAGAGGAGCCACCGGAGAGGGGTGGGGCGCCAAGGCTTCATGGGTGGGGGCAGTCGGGTGGGGTGGGAGTGGCGCTGGAGGAGGCGGTCAGGGTGCGTGGACCAGAAGCTCCCATACTGTGGCAAGGGGTGCTTTGCTGCCAGACCCATCACGACCTAGCCCTCCCAGAGCTATTTCCTCTGATTCCCGCCTAGGGGCCTCGGTTTCCCCCAGCGGCGGGGCGGGGCGGGAGCAGCGCTAGTTTCAAAGTCGCCTGCAGGGTGCGCCCATGAGCGGCACGGTGAAGCTGGAGCCCGAGCCGCCTCTGAGACGGTGGGAGCCAGCGGAGGAGGCAGGTCAGTCGGGGGCCTGGGTCTGGGGAATTCGGGGTGGGGGGTCGCGGGCCGGCGTCTTGGTGACTGTGGCCGTCGGACTCCGAAGGGCCAGGAGATCTGAGCGGATTAGGACCCTTCCGCTCTTTGGAGCGCCCGCCTCTCCCTCGGACCCTTCCTTCCTGCTGTCGGGAGGAGAGTCCGCGGGTATCAGGGTCCGAGCCTGTCCTGGCTGCCTCGGGAGTGGCCGCAACTGGGTTCCTTGGTGCAGGTCACATCCTAGGAGCCGTGCCTTCGGGGCGGTCCTCAGCGACCGGAAGGTGAGCATGAGCAGGTAGCACGGAAGGGGCTCGAGTAAGGCAGGGCAGCGGGGTGCCATACAGTCAATCGATTAGACCGGCAGGCGACAGACGACGAGCGGCGACGGTCGTCGATTTGTCCGCGGAGGACTGAACCTGCAAGCTCACTAGTCGCTTTAGGGCGCGTCCCTGCCAAAGCTAGGCTGTGGACGTCGAGGCGCGGCCGGAGGTAGGCGGGTCAGACTCCCGGGTAAGGGGTTCAGGCGGGCACCAGTTTACAGCCAGGAAGGCACGGCGAGAGCAGGGGAGTTTGGAACCCGGGGGAGGGGAGCATCCTGTTGACAGTGGTGGCGGGAACCCGACTTAGGACACTGGAGAGGCCAGAGGACAAGAGGGTGGGTGAGCGTCTGAGGCTGCCCGAAGCCGGGGGCAGAAATGGCGGGAACGGTGGCAACTCTCAAGGGTTTGGTAGAAGATGGACAAATGTTCCTCTGCCTTAGGAACATTTAGACTAATTTTGCCAGTCCATACAGAGGGAGCAGCAGGAATTCACAGTGGTCCAGGGCGACAGAAGCAAGTGGTCTCCAGTACTCCTTCTCCCCACAACTGGGGCAGGCAAAGCATGTATTCTCCTGATGGCTGGAAAGGGATTTGGACCCCCCTCCTTACCCACCCAGAGGCCGCGCCTTGTCTCCCTGAGAAAGGAGCCTGCTTTCTGTCCTTCTACCTGGAATGCTCTGCCTCTGCTGCCTGGCTTTCTCTGGACTCCTAGACTCCGCGCGCCTTTCAGAAGGGTGTCACACCCAACCAATCTTGTTCTTGGTGTCAGGATTTTAGGTGTCAGGTGTTTAGGATGATGGTGGAGAGCTTTTGGGAAACACGAGTTTGGGAAGGCCCTGCTTGTTTGGGTCCTCGAGGGCTCCTTAAAAACTGATGGTCTGTGACTATGATGTCAAGATCTCAAAATTCAGCCCTTACATTCTGGAAGTTCCCAGGTTCTCTGGGTTCTGGCGTCTCTTGGGCAAAGCCTAGCTGGTGTGCCCTCTCTCAGAGCTGACCATGCCGATCTCCCTGTTCATGGCTTGAAGTTAGATTAAGGGCAGTTCACTCATGTAGTAAGAGACAAACTTTGGGTCAGGCAGAAGAAGCAGTGACTGATCTCCAGGGCCCTGCAGAAGGACCAAAGATCTTGATGTCCTAACCTGGGTTTTGATCTTGTCCCCTAGATGCGTACTAACTAAGTGGTCTTGGGAAGGCCACTGCCCTGGGAATCCATTTTTCCATCTATAGAGTAATGGTGTTCTTAGAAATGCTGAACACACAGGTATAGAGGAAGAGGGGGAAGATATTCTTTGGCTGGGTATGGGGGGGGGGATAAGTTCAGGGGAAGGGGTGGTGGCAGTAGGGGGTTGTGGTCAGGGAGCTCTGTGCTTAGGTTGGGTAATCCTGGAGGAAGAGGCACAGATTGCTATGAGCGGAGGGAAGTGTGGACAAGCGTTAGCTTGGGAGCAAACATGTGGTATCAAGGTGTCAGATTCTGCAAAATCCAGGACCTGTAAGGGGACGCACAGTCCCTGGTAACTCACTTGCTGCCTGAAATCAGCAGCTCTGGCCTCTGACCTGACCTTTTCTGAGATAGCACACCTCATAGAAGTTACGGTCACCATCTCAGTGTCCTTTTGATACAACCCAACCCCGGGCCCTGCCTACTTTGTGCATATGAGAGTAGAGGGAGAGAAGGCTAGGCAGAGAGGGAGAGAGAGAGAGAGAGGAATGATAGGTAGATAGATAGATGATAGATGGATGACAGGTGATAGATAAATAGATGATAGATAGATAGATAGATAGATAGATAGATAGATAGATAGATAGATGTTGGATGATAGATAAGTAGATAGATGATAGATAAATAGATATTGGATGATAGATGATAGATAGATATTGGATGATAGATGTATGAATGATAGATAGATAGATGATAGATAGATATTGGATGATAGATGATAGATAGATGATAGATAATTAGATATTGGATGATAGATGATAAATAGATATTGGATGATAGATGTATGGATGATAGATAGATAAGATTGATAGATAATAGACAGATAGATAGGCACAGGTAGGAAGGGTTTTGATGAATGTGATGGAGGAGCTGAGGAGGTGGGGCAGATAGACAGATAGATGATGGATGGATGACGGATGGATAGATAGATAGACAGACAGACAGATAGACAGGCACAGTTAGGAAGGGTTTTCATGAACGCAATGGAGGAGCTGAGGTGATGGGAGCATACAGGTGAGGATACTGCTCCAGGCAGGTAACTGAGCCGGTAAAAGAGATTCTCCTCAATTACCATGGTCCCTGGGACACACTGGGGACCACAGAAGGGTAGATCATGACCTGGGGAACTCAGTAGTGATGAGGGAGCAGAGGTGATACAGTGTTTGAGGAACTGCCCTAAGTCCATACTGGACCGTCAATGGGAGGAAAAGATTAGAGGTACAGTAAGGGGACCCTGGAGGCTACTCATGTCCAGAGCAAGGCCCAGACCCTGAAGTGGGTAACAAGGAACCATGAGGTGCAGAGAGGAAGGTCCGAGCCCTGAATCTGGAAGCCATGAGATCCTGCCAGGTGCTAAGCAGAGATGGATTGGGTGGAGGAGAACAGCCGCCCTCACTTTAGCGAGGGATTAGACACGAGGATGACAGGCCCTGTGTGGTGTCCCGGGGCTACCTCTAACTTTATGTGACAGGTCTCTTCCAGAGGCTCGAGCTGGAGGGATCTTTACATTTGTCCTCGCAGTGACCTCTGCGAGCCATGAGCCTTGAGTGGTCCAGTGCATCCCACTCTTTCCCTTCAGCGTCTACGGCTGCATCATCACACCCATATCCTAGGGATATGGATGAGCAGTGGGTTTGTACCCCTCATGTCTAGCATCCAGGCCAGCCCCCTGCCTGGGTTCCACCCAGGGATCCCTTTTCCCTTTTCAGGAGAAACAGTAACTGTCTTCCACTATTTATGGCAGGCACAGGGGTTGAGCCTTTCATATGATGCTCTCACCATAGCTCGTGCTCATGGGAGAAGTCAAGGCACAGTCGGGGGGGGGGGGGGGTTGTGATGAACATGGCATGGACCCTGCCGCAGGCTGCTCCCACTGCAGGCTGCCCTCCAAGTCCCTATGTAAGGCTTGGATCCCAGAAGGGGTTATATCTGGAGAAGCAACTTGCAATGTGTGAGTAGCCCCTGAGGTGAGGACGGGAACCTGTGGTCTTTCTGGGCACCAGACCTGGACAAGTGGGCATGTCAGGGTCCATTCTAGGACCCTCAGTGGGAGGGAAGGAAGATCTGACCAGTAGCCTTTGAGCGTAAACGAGGGTAACCTGGGTCCTAGCTGGTGATAGAGAAGTTATTTAGAAAGGCAAGCTAGTGCCCCGGCCTCCAGCTGGTTCTCCCTTCCTGCCCACATCCTGTCCCCAGGAACATAACAGCAGCCACACACCCTGGTTGGTAGGGGAAGGACATTCTGGTCACTTACTTGTATTCTTGAGGTTCCAGCCTTTACCAGGTATTAGAATTTGGGTGCTGCACAATTCTGGAGAGACCCAGGAAGGGAAGGGAGGCCCAGACCCTGCAGCATTGGGCAGCCTCAGGAGGCGCCTGTCTTGTTGATTGGTGTGCTAGGGAAGACCTAGTGGGCTCGGGGGGGGGGGGTGTCTTCCTGCAAGTCCAGCTACTGCTGAGTAACTACAGGGATGTGCTTCGGGTGTAAGAGGTACCGGCGCATTCCACCGTGACTCTTGCTTGGTGTCATTCCACGCATCACCCGCTTCCCAAGGACAGCTGTTGAATCTCCTCCATCTAGACTTTGTCTCTGGTTCCTGTAGAAATACCTCGGGATTCTCTTCCATCCCCCACTGCCTCGGGCCTCAGCTGCCTGCAGGGCTGAAATCTATCATGCTCTTTATGACACGCTCTTTATTTTGATTCCTGTTTGTCCTGCCCACGATTTTATGCTGCTTGTTTGTATTTGCTCTGGTGTGCCAGAGAGTTTGCTAGCTTTCATTCTCGTTCACGGCCCTTTGTAAAATACCTGAATTATTACTACATAGGCCGTATCCTCTCCTGTGGGTTTGATACTTTTATTTTCTCTTTCACGGACTTCTTTTTTTTTTTTTTTTTTTTTTTTTTGAGGGAGTGTCATTATGTAGACTGGCCTGGCCTCCAGCTCAGTCACAGAGACCCGCCTATCTCTGCCTCCTGAGTGCTGGGGTTAAAGATGAACGCCACATCTTTTCTTCTTCATAGTCTTGTTTTCTTCTGGCATCTTAAATCTAGTGTGCAGCTCGCCTAAAGTGGGAGATGAGGTCCTGGGGGTCCTGGGCATGGCTTCTAAGTATCTGAATCTCCTAGGTAGCAGCTGTCATTGAAGAATTCCCAGGTTCTTGTCTTTTGAGACCCCTGCAGT